CCTCCCATCCCCACCGATGCATGCTCCACCAAGGCGATTAGTGCCTCTTGGGCTCCTAAACTTCAGGTTTCTGTGTCTCAGGTTTGCGAGAAGGCTTCTACAAGTTCAGGTTTTGCATCTTTGAATGCTTGTCTTGGCTGCTAGGTTTTGCAGGCTGCTGTTTAAGATTCCATGTTTTTGGTTTGCCCACGCCTTCTTGAGACATTGCTTTGGGATGTCCCTATGGGCATTATTCAGAAGAACTGTGTTCATGTATGAAAGTAAGAGAACAGAACTTTTTGTTATTCACCATAAAATCCCTTTCTCGGAGTTCATTGACTGCCAGAGCACCGACCCCTATTTTTTGTCGAGTTTATACTTCTGACACTGCTTTTGCAACTAACTGGCTTGCCTATAGCAGAGAAGGGGTTTACACCAGTTTGGACTGCCCATAGGTGTATTTTTTTTCTGCCTAGTGTGCCTACTTCTGTAGATGGCACCATCAATGCTTTAATCAAGAAGCAGAGTTGCTGTGTCCATCAGTGAACTCAGAGGGGATTTTATAGTGCATAACAAATCCAGTTTTTTCATTATAGGTGCAGTCGTGATTTCAGAAGCTGTGACTCCCCTGTGTCAGAGTGCACGATAACGAGGCTGAATTCATGGAGTCAGGATGTCAGCCACCAGCTTCCATTGCCCCTCTCTTGTTGGCACTCCCTCACATTTCCTGCAGCAGCTGCTCACCACTGTGGAGCATTTACATTGCTCTTTTGCAAATGGTATGCAACATGTGGAGGCAGTCTTGTGTTTAGCTTTTACTTCCATTTGGGTACTTTTTGAGTCACAGATCGTGAACATGCAAGTTGTAAATGGGTAGCAAAAGTCCTTGATGCTTTGTTTAGGTTAGTGACAGACTGCCTAGAAACTTCAACGATTGTCATGTGATGGCCACATGGTTATCATATTACCATATTTTTTATGACCTGGGCACTTAAAAGAATCGGTCAACATAAAAAAAAAAGACATGATGGCACAGGATTTGACGCTGAACTCCACCTTCCTTGTGGCCTCAGATGGTTGTATTTCATACTTTTTGGGGAACATTTATCAAAACTGGAGCAGACAGAAAATGGAGCAGCTGTGCATAATCCGCTCCTACCTTCAGCCTGTTTAGTTAAACTTTTGAAAATGAAATCCAGAAGGAGATTGGTTGCTATACACAGCTGTTCCACATTTGATAATTTCCCTTCTGTGTTTTTAATACTCCATTTTTCAGAAGTCTTCAATGGTGTGTACTGGTATGGCAATTTGTCTCCAGCATGGGCGCATATAAGAAATCCGGGTATGGTTTTTTAGAATAGTTGCATCAGTCCAGCTGGGACCAGTGTAGGCATTCATATGCTGTACCTGTGGGTTCTCTGTGGCAGTTGGAAGTCAATGTAGTAGCCTCCACTACTACAGCGATCACTGCTATCTTCTGGGTCCTGTGCCTAAGAGCTGCCCTGCTGCATAGTAACCATGGTGCTCACTCAGCACTGGTGCCATTCATATGCCTTGCATTTTTCCTCTATGAATGCAATGCAATCTCTGATTGGACTAGGAGGAACAGAGTATTCATTATGCAGTAGGACAGCCACGAGACACAGAGACCTGGATAGCAGTAATCACTATAGTAGTAGAGACTGCTATAGCGATTTTCAACTTCCACAGGAATTTTGGCTTATGCATGCTGTATAGGATTTTACTGATTGGGTTTAGATTTGCTTTAAGTTTCTTTTTCTCTTTCAGGTATTTGACTTGTGCTCAAACTCCTTTCGACCTGCCTCTGGTGTTTGATGTTCTGTTAAGACGCCGGCCTCGCCTTACGGAAGAACGCTTCCCTGTTTTTTTCCACAAAGCAGTGCTGTGGACCCTAACTGCATCGTGATTTCTTCATGAGTTGAATGTGTTGCAGTTGCATAGCTTAAGCTGCTGTTGGAGCTTTAACCAATAGAAAAGGGTTCTAATACCCTGCATCTTACTGTATACATGTAGTAGTCTTTTGTATGTAGTGATTAGTCCTATAAAGGCATGTTTTATATTTCACTTAGACCAACAAATAAAAATATTTAATATTTTAATTATCTGAAGCTCTTCTTTTTATGTAGGCAATCTAATGTGATTGGATTTGTCTGACCTTTCTTCCTTTCTTTTGACTTGTGTAGTTTGATGTAAGAGTGAACCTCTAATTCACTTCACATTCTGTTTTCCTATTGACCTTTTGAAGGTTGGACTTAATTTCAGGGTGTGACCACCATAGAGATCCACAGAATGGTTCATTGGAATAGGTAGAGGTAATGGTGACAGGTGCTTGACTCTCCTTGTCATAGAAGGCAATAGTGATAACAGCAGGTTTAATAACTTTACAAATCAACTGGTCCCCTAGACTGTGGCCAGCAGAGGTTCCATATAAACCTAAGACCGATAGAAACAAGTTGTATCAGACAATTGTCCTCCTTAAAGAGGTAGTTCACCTTCTCCCAAACAAATTCTGCGTATTGGTGGCCTCAGTACCTTAGTAGTCAATCCTCCCTTTTGTAAGACTTATCAAGTTGTTAATTCCAATCCCATTCTCTCTCTGTCCTGCAGATGGCAGGGTATAGCAAGCATTAGATGTGAGTCATTGGCACCTCACAAATAAACACTCTGCTTCATTCCCTACCCATGCATGCACTGTCTGTTTTCTGCTTCTTTTTGTTTTTTACCCTGAAAGAAAGCTGAGCCATAAGAGTGTCTGATACAGCAGATGCTGTAATGTACAGGGAGTTTCTTTGGAGAAGATCATTAACACTCTTAGCAGAACTTTTATAATGCTTTTACAACATGTACACTGTACCAGCAGCCATCTTTAAAACCATATCTCCAGTGAATATTCCTTTTTCCAAATGTATGCAAAATGCTGGGTTAAGAAAAAAAAAAAAAAGTTCACAATACTTTGGACATTGACATTTCTATTTTATGAAAAATTATAGAAATCCATCTACTTTATTGGTTGAAAGAGACCGAAGTCTCTTTTAAGACACCCCGAAAATCAAAGTGAAAAAATGATGCAGCAGCCTAGTCCATTTTGCTGAAATTTCATTGCAGTAACTCAAAATGGTACTCAGTAGTTTGTATGCCCCCAACGTGCTTGTATGCCTGCCTGACAACATCGAAGCATGCTCCTAATGAGATGACAGATGGTGTCCTGGGGTATTTCCTCCCAGATCTGGACAGTCTGAGTTGCAACCTGGAGGCATCAGATGGACCGAAACATAATATTCCGGAGGTGATCTATTGGGTTTAGGTCAGGCGAGCGTGGGGGTCATTCAATGGTATCAATTCCTTCATCCTCCAGGAACTGCCTGCATACTCTTACCACACAGGGCCGGGCATTTTCATGCACCAGGAGGAACCTAGGACCCACTGCACCAGCGTAGGGTCTGACAATGGGTCCAAGGATTTCATCCCGATACCTAATAGCAGTTAGGGTGCCATTGTCTAGCCTGTAGAGGTCTGTGCAACCCTCAATGGATATGCCTCCCCAGACCATCACTGACCCACCACCAAAACGGTCATGCTGCACGATGTTACAGGCACTATAACGTTCTCCACGGCTTCTCCAGACCCTCTCACATCTGTCATATGTGCTCATGGTGAACCTGCTCTCATCTGTGAAAAGCACAGGGTGCCAGTGGCAGACCAGACAATTCTGGTGTTCAATGGCAAATGTCAATCGTGCTCTATGGTGCTGGGCAGTGAGCACAGGACCCACTAGAGGAGGTCGGGCCCTCAGGCCACTCTCATGAAGTTTGTTTCTGATTGTTCGGTCAGACATTCACACCAGTGGCCCATTGGAGGAAATTTTGTAGGGCTCTGGCAGTACTCATCTACTCTTTTGTGAAGGAGGAACAGAATATCGGTCCTGCTGATGAGTTACGGACCTTCTACGGCCCTGTCCAGCTCTCCTAGAGTAACTGCCTGTCTCCTGGAATCTCCTCCATGCTCTTGGGAGACACTGCAAACCTTCTGGCAATGGCACGTATTGATGTGCCATTCTGGAAGAGTTGGACTGCCTGTGCAAGCTCTGTAGGGTCCTGGTATCACCTCATGCTACCAGTCAGGACACTGATCCTAGCCAAATGCAAAACTAGTGAAAAACAGAAAAGATGAGTAGGGAAAAAAATGTCAGTGGCCTCCACCTGTAAAACCATTCCTGTTTTGGGGGTCATCTCATTGTTGCCTATCTAGTGCACCTGTTGTTAATTTCATTAACATCAAAGCAGCTGAAACTGATTAACAACCCCCTCTGCTACTTAACTGACCAGATCAATATCCCAGGAGTTTCATTGACTTGATGCTATACTCTGAATAAAAAGTGTTCCTTTTAATTTTTTTTTGAGTAGTGTATGAGCTTTGCATTTACGCATTACTTCGCATCAATATCCCAGGAGTTTAATTGACTTGATGCTATACTCTTATTAACTACTTCAAGTCCAGACACTTTTACCCCCTTCCTGTCCAGGCCAATTTTCAGCTTTCAGTGCTATCACACTTTGAATAAGGGGTTTATATTTATTTATTTTTATTGCTATATAAATGAAAGTCCAAACATTTTGAAAAAAAATGTTTTGTTTTTCTTATAAAATTTTGCAAATCTTTCTTCATAAATCTTGGCCAAAATTTATTCAGTTATCTTTTTAGTAAAAAAAAAACAAATTTGTTTATAACCAAAAACTATAATTTTTCAAAAACATTTTTTACATTTGTATTTTTTTTTTATTTTTTTTTAACATACTGTCACCGTAGCAGTACAGTGTCACCATAGTATACTTGGGGAGGGTGATGATTTTTTTTTTTTTATACTGATTGCTTTTATACCCATAAAGGCTGTAAAAGCAATCATTTCTCCTCTCTGGCTGCATTCTTGCAGCCATTGAGAAATACTGTGAGAGCTGTGATTTGTCACATGGTATAAGGCTGTTGTGAATAGCCTTGTAATATGTGACCTCTGTGATCATTCACAGATTTCACTAGTAGTAAGCAATGATGTCAGCAAGTGACATCTTGCTTACTATTATTCATGTGATCACTGATCGGCCAATCAGTGATCACATGATCGGGACCTCACACAGAGGTCCTGTAATGCGATCGGTGTTCGGATATGTGATATGAAAAAATGTGGTTTAATCGTGCCAAGATCAATGAAGGTCTCTAAGGCCCTGAGAAAGAAGGTTGTGGATGCCTATGTGTCGATCTAAAAAGATTACAAAATTATTTGACATCAATCTTTCCATTGTAAGGCAAATCATCTACAAGTGACAAAGTCTTCAGTCCACTGTAAATTTGCCCAGGACTGGCCAGCCTAGCATATTTTACCCAAAGGCTGAATGTGTGATGCTAAAGGCTCCAAGAACCCCAAAATGTGATCTCAGGGTGTTCAGGTAATCCTTTTAACAGTTGGGGTCAAAGCGCATGCATATACTGGCATGGAGAAAAAAAATGGAAACACTAAATGATTTGTAGGTGTGAAAATTATGTTTTTCACGTTGAAAGCAAAAGTGATGTAACATTATTTTGCTTCTGCTGTGCGAGAACTGCATGGCAAGCCTCACTTTCATCATTCACTGGGTGCTTTACTAGTAATACATGGCTCCATTCACAAAGGTATTTTTATCTTTAAAATTTGTGGTAAAATATTTTTCAAACATTTTTTGGCAATTCAACAAAAAATGCTACTAAGAGAAGGCATGTGGTTTTCACCAACGTGGAAAATATGCAGTATTTATTTCATGAAACCATGTGATATTTTATCTCATGCAATATCCAGTGGGATGTACACAGAGAGAATAATTAGAACCCCTGTCATTTTTCATTGCTAATAAAGAGGTAAAATGGTTTAAACCGTAGAAATATGCTCAGGACGGTCCCTGCAGCAGCATATGTATTAACCACTTCAAGTCCGGACACTTTAACCCCTTCCTGTCCAGGCCAATTTTTTGCTTTCAGTGCTATCACACTTTGAATGACAATTGCGCGGTCATGCAACACTGTACCCATATTATTTTTTAGCATTTGTTTTAGACAGATAAAGCTTTATTTTGGTGGTATTTATTCACCACCGAGATTTTAATTTTTTTTTTGCTACGTTAATGAAAATTTTGGAAAGTGTTTTTCTTACAAATTAGTTTATAACCATAAATCATAATTTTTAAACTTTTTTTTTTTTTACATTTTTATTTAATTTTTTAATATTATATATATTTGTTTTAACATACTGTCACCCTAGCAGTACAGTTTCACCACTGAAGATTTTTTTTTTTTTTTGCACTGATTGATTTTACACCCATAAAGGCTGTAAAAGCAATCATTTCTCCTTCTCTCTGGCTGCATTCTTGCAGCCATTGAGAACTACTGTGTGAGCTGTGATTGGTCACAGCTTGTCACATGATACAAGGCTGTTGTGAATAGCCTTGTACCATGTGACCTCTGTGACCATTCACAGATTTCACACCTAGTAAACAATGATGTCAGAAGTGACATCTTGCTTACTACTCTGCATGTAATCACTGATTGGCTAATCAGTGATCACATGATCGGGACATCGCACAGAGGTCCTGTACGACGATCGGTGTTCCACCGCGTCCAGAGGACACAGCGGGCACCGGATCGAGGTGCTGCCCGCTCCCAGGGAGCGCGCACAAACAGGGGGCGGGGAGGCCGTTTATAAACGGCCACCCGACCCTACACTGCCATCGTCCGGCCGTTTATATACAACAGCCGGACGGGAGGTGGTTAATACAAAAGAAAAGTGACTGGAATACCAGTCAAAGGGAAGCTGCTTTCACAAGACACACAAGGTGTTTAAAAACCCCATTAAATTAAGTAAATACAAAATATCTTTCCTAATGTCAACTATTGAATGAAAATAGTATCAAAAATCACACACATATATAAATATAAATACCTTTCTTCTACAATGTTGTCTTTTTTTATTGGTGGAAAAAGAGCATTTGTATACGTATGTGATTTTTGATACTATTTTCTTTCAATACTTGACATTTAGAAAGATATTTTGTATTTACTTGCTTGTACCAGGCCATTTCTGGCACTTTTTGTTTTCATTTTAAAATCAGTATTTTTTTTGCTATAAAATGTCCTTGAACCCCCAAATATTATTTTTTTAACGCAATGACCCTGGAGCATAAATCAATGGTTTTTACATTTTGTTTTATGCCACACGGTATTTGCGCAGTGGTTTTTCAAACGCAATTTTGGGGAAAAAATATAATTTGTTATTGCAAATAAAACACAATACATAACCCAATTTTTTTTAATATATAAAAGATTATGTTACGCCGAGTAAATAGATACCAAACATGCCATGCTTTAAAATTGCACACGCCAGTGCAATGGTGACAAATGGCGTAAATTTTACTATTCATAGGCAATGCTTTAAAAGCCTTTACAGGTTACCATTTTAAATTTAGAGAGGAGGGCTAGTGGCAGAATTACTGCCCATGATCTGACGGCTGCGGCAATACCCCACATGCGTGGGTCGCTTACTATTTGCATGCATGCGGGACTGATGCATGTGTTTGCCTTTGCGTGCAAGCAGAGGGGGGGGGGCAGGTTCCACTTTTATTTTTACACTGTTACTTTAAAAAAAAAAAATTTTAATCACTTTTTGCTTTCACAAGGAATGTAATTATCCCCTGTGATAGCAATAGATATGTGACAAGTATTTTTTATGGAGGGATCTTGGGTCTATAAGATCCCAAATCCGTTTTCTGCACTTAAAAGCATTCAAAACACCGAGATCAGTGTTTTTGAATGCTTTCCGATTTTTAAAAATGACGCAGAAAGTTTCCGAGTAAACCTGAAGTGATGTCCGGTCATCGCTACTGGTTTACAATAAGGGAGAGCTGATCAAAGCAGGTTCTGGCTTTGTTCGGCTGTCCAACCAGCCGGTGGACGCACCAGCTGGTCGCTCAGGACTCCTGGAGCGACGTCACCTCCTGCTGCTTGTACAAGCAATCGAGTGGCTAGTAGATTTCTTCTACAAGAGAGCCAACCGCTGGCTCTGAAAAACGGTACCGGGTTGATGCCTGCAGCTGCAGGCATCACTCCAGTACAACCACCGAACTTCCACCAACATATGGGTACATCACTGGTCCAGAAGTGGTTTTTAAAGCATAACTAAAGGAAACATTTTTTTTGGATTTGGGATAGGGTACCGCAAAACAGTATAGTGAACTGACAGTTCTAGGATTGTGTGCAATATGTAGGTAAAATGTGTCTGGACACCTAAATACTACATGTGATCTTCTTTGAATGGAGCCCACAGAGTCATGTCAGAACTTACTGAGCTTCAAAGAGGGCAAATTGTTGGTGCCTGCTTAGCTGGTGCCTCTGTGACTGAAGTTGCCAATTTATTTGCTGTGTCATGATGTACAATATCAAAGGTTATGATGGCATATACAGTTTCCAGGAAAACATTGTCTGATAAAAAAAAGCACTGTGGACATGGTCAACTGACCAAAAGAGACAAAAGGTTATTGCGCAGGATTGTGACCCCGAATAAGAAAACAACTGCTGCAAATTTGACAGCAGAGTACAATCTCAGTCCCTTGAAGAATATCTTTCTTTGATAATAAGCCCCCCCTTACTTATTGAGATACTTATGTCATATATCAAAGGAGGCTTCAAGGGATTCTACAGCACATGCATGGTGACATGTTGTTGTCAAGAACCAGAGAGATAAAGTTGGCTTCCAGATGTAGTAAAGGAGAAAGATTGTGGTGCTGGACTGGTTGAGTATGTTTATGAAGGACAACTCAGAGAAAAAGTAAAAGGCAACTGTATGTGGAACCAAATCCAAAAAATAGCTTACCAATCATTAGATGTGGCACTGCATTCATCTTCTTTTTATCATACTTTTATTTTATATAACTGTTTTTTTTTTTCATCTGGTTATTGCCCACTAACACACCTCCAGTCTTAGGATGGCTACAATCACTCCTCCACTGTATCTTTGGAGAAGCAATGAAGCCATCCTTGGACAACATCTTTGTCAATCAGTGGAGAGGGTGTTGGATGGACTAGTGTATTTAGATGGACTTTACATAAGTGACAAACAATTCGTTAACTTGAGCTAACACTTATTAAAGTGGAACAAAAGTTGAAAACAAATTGTGAACAGGCAGGATCTTTATTTCAAAAGAGACATGCAATGTCTCTGCTGCATTTTAGTGCAGTTACCTGCAGGGGCGGACTGACCATTTGGAAACTCGGGCACTGTCCAAGGGCCTGGAGTCAGCAGGGGTCTTATGAGATGTCCCTGGTACCTTTTTCATAGGCTTTTTTGAGTTTGGGCAAGGACACAGGGGATCCATGATCCCCTATTGCCTGGGGGCCCCATGAGTTGTCAGTCCACCCCTGGTATAGTGTGAGTGCTTTTTATTAGCACTGATTACTGTATTGGTGTAACTGTAAGTTCCCCCCAGTGTCAGAATGCCCACCGCATTCCCGCATTCCCACAGTCCCGCTATAAGTTGCTGATCGCCGCCATTACTAGTGAAAAAAAAAATCCCAGTATATATACCGCCATTTGTAAATGCTATAACTTTCACGTAAACCAATTAATTTGCATGTATTGGGGGCTTTTTTTTTTAGCGAAGACACATAGCAGAATACATTTTGGCCTAAATTTATGCCGACATTTGATTTTAAATTTTTTTACTGGACATGTTTAATAGCAAAAAGTCAATAATATTGTTTTTTTTTCTCAAAATTGTCAGTCTTTTTTTTGTCTTCTATAGTACAAAAAATAAAAACGCACAGGCGATCAAATACCACTGACAGAAAGCTCAATTTGTGGGAAAAAAAAGGACGTACGTTTCATTTGGGTGCAGCGTTGCATGACTGTGCAAGTATCAGAGCGCCGTTATGCAAAAAATGGCCTGGTCAGGAAGGGGGGTAAATCCTCAGGAGGGCAAGTGGTTAAAGAGTTAATTGCTTTGTTAACTTAACTCTGACAAGCACTCTCAGGCTGTGGAACCTAGATTGTGTTCCCACGAGCTGGAAAATCTTTGTGCAGGGTGTAGCTGAGAGTGGCATTGTTACGTAAGTGACAGAGTGGTTTGAGATTGGCCAGTCCTTTGTCACGAGTTGGTGAGAAGGGCAGGGGTTGGGCATCGCATTCATCACAATCCCTGCTGCAGCCAATCGAGATGGCTGAAGACCAGCACACAATCACATGGTCCACTGCAACTAAGGTAAGTATTTTTGCCTTTGATTTCACTTTAAGCAGTTACAGCAATAGAATTGTTTTCCTTTTTGGGAGAAAGGTTTTAAATAAATTAATAAAAGCTGATCATTGTAAGCAAAACTGTCAGTGTCAAATGGTTTGTCTCAACCTTCTAAAAGCCACTTTTGCTGGACAGCTTGGACTGTCAAAGGAATCTGAAAAATAACAGATCCACTGGCTGTATCACCAGGTAATAAAACTCTGTTTTAGGGGGACTCAGAAAAACAAACACTGCTGTATTAATGCTACTGACAGACTATATCATATACCGTATATCATTTTGTATTATGGTCATAGTTACATTTTAACTGTTTTTCAAAACAGTTACATTCAAGACGTGTCTTTCAACTGTTAGGGCCTGTTCATTGCATTAAAATGCATGAAAATGCTTGAAAAATGGATTTGCATTGCTTTCCATTTATATCCACTGCTGCACATTTTTATGCATGTTGACGCATTTTTCTAACCGCGTTAAAATGCTAGGCACTTTACAGGTTATTTCCTGTGATATCACATCCTGTTCCTATTTGTGGGTTGAGAGAAGGAGTAAGAGAGTGACAAACACATTTTTGTTTTTTGGAGAGGTGTTGGCAAACAGGATGACTAGCACACCAGCCCTAATCATTGTGATTGCACTAGCTATATTGAGGAGGAGGAGGAGGAAAATGAGGAGATGAAGACAAGTCAAACAGCACGGGTGCATAAAGGCAGTTTTGACCCTTATATCAGGATTTACAAAGTCACTCCATAAAATTAATTGCTTATACAGTACATGGATGTCCATTGCAAGGTAAATCATTGTATGTAAACTTTGTTCCCTCACAGTCATGTAATGTAGAAGGCCACAGTAATGAAAATACTTTATTTTCCATTTCAACAACATTCTTGAGATCTTCACATCCTACCTTGAGCTGTAGGACATAACTTACTGGAAAGCAGTGCCTACTTGTTACACTCAGGTGAGTACCCAAGTCGATATAGCTAATTGTTGTCAAACACAACTGAACACTTATTATTATTACGGGTACTTATATAGTGCTGTCAATTTACGCAGCGCTTTACATATATATTGTACATTCACATCAGTCCATAACCCTCAAGGGGTGTACAACCTAAGGTCCCTAACTCACATTCATACATACTAGGGTCAATTTGGACAGGAACCAATTAACCTACAGGCATGTCTTTGGAGTGTGGGGGGGAAGTTGGGGTGCCCAGAGGAAACCCACACAGGCACAGGGAGAGCATGCAAGCTCTAGGCAGGTGGTGCCATGGTTGGGATTCAAACCAATGACCCTAGTGCTGCCAGGCGGAAGTGCTAACCACTTAGCCACTGTGCTGCCCCCACTTTTGCTACTTTTGGAATTTCAATGCACATATTAAAAATCAAAAGGTTCCTCCTGCGCTGTCATGGACCCCAACCCTACCCTACAGCTGCTAACACTCAAACTGATACCTAAACAGTGCAATAAATAAATA